ACTAAAGGGTGATGCCAAGAGATACCTTTGGGGTAGATGGTTTCAAAGCCAAGATGTCACCACGAAAAAGGCCTTCTCTCCAGTAGCCGCCATTGCTCTATGGATGGGAAGGGTCTTTGATGAGGATCTCATACCATGGGGAACATGGTAATGAGATCATTGAGATCTCATGAGATCATGAGATCAACATGGTGATGGATGAGATCCATCTCATGAGATCATGAGATCAACATGGTGATGGATGAGATAGATATGGCCAAAGACACTAAGTCAACCGAAAATATCCACAGCTGAGGGGAGGGAGTTTCGTCTTCCCATTTCTCATCCAGCACCTTAACCCACAATTCCTGCCCCTCTGAGATTTCCCATACTGAGATTCACACCATCATCATCATCATCATCACGTCATCATCATATTTTAGGCTTTCTTGCTGGACACTTCCCAGTGTTTGGTAACCTGTTCTTGTTTCTCTCTCTTAATTTTGAAATACTTTCCCTGCTTTTTCCTTCTGTTATTTCTATCCTATTCCTTTTCTCAGTGGCAAAATGTGTCTTTCTTCTCACTGTCCACTGGTGAGATATAAAACTATTGAATCGGGAGGTTTTTTTGAAAGGGATTATGAGATCTTTCTCCTCTACACATCCTTCTGGTTTCTTGTCTTGCTTTAGAAAGCAGCCTTTCCTAAATAGGTACTTTCCAGATGTGGGGGGAATAAAATCGGTAGATCAATACAAATGGGTTGACGTATCAGGGAAGGCTGATTCCTAAGGTTGCATGATACCCTCCTCCCTGCTTCATTGTTAGGAAATACAGAGCAGCAAAAATCTGCAATGGAAACAACCTGAGCCAAGGCTCTTAGAAGAAGCCCTTGGAGGCCAATCTGACAACATTGTAAACATGTTTTCTTTCTTTCTTCCTCTCCTTCTCTCCTTGCTTCCGTAGGTTGATGTAGATATTAGCTTGAAAAAATTCATAATACAACCAAAATGTACTTGTCTGTGGATTCTTGCCATTTAGATTTTGCAGAAGCCAGAAATATAAATTCTTTCACTTGGATTCAGGATTTCTCTTACTGCTTGCCCTAGGACTTATTATGCAATACTTACATCTCTCAAGTGAGAAAATAGAGATATTTACCTTTCTGCATTTCTTGCTTTTCTTTCAATGCTTATTTCAGAGGTTGGCTTTTTTGGGGGTGGGGGGTGGGGAGTTGTTTATTTTTTTAACCCCTTTCTTTCATTAATTTCACAGAATTGTTGAGAGGAAGAGGGCTGCCTCAAATGTATTTAATGCTGGTGATTTGAAACACCTCATTAGCTGCCCTCCTTTTATTCAGTGCTTTGAAAAGAGCTATTTTTGAACGAAAAACAAAAACAAAAATGAATTCGCTTATGATTATTATATGATACTCAATTATGCAAACAGGGTTCCACCACTAAAGCGCGGTGACAAAACCGCGCGATGAATGAGCGACTAATTAGCCCTAAAGCGCGCCGACAGAAGCGCGCTGTAACATATCCCTCAACCTAACCCTAAACCTAACCCTCAACCTAACCCTCAACCTAACCCTAAACCTAACCCTCCACCTAACCCTCAACCTAACCCTAAACCTCACCCTA